TTGTTTGTTTCCAGGAACTTTTTTGTGTAGGGACTAGAAAAAATCCCTTTTAGAGATTTTTTTATCAAACGGGAGAGACTTTTTAGGGACTAAACTAGGTATTTGAAACTAAATGAAGAAGACTCTCAAAGAGAGTCTTTTTGGGACTTTTTCAACAATGCCCCTCCATGCATCTATTGACCCGCCACCCCATGGTGTTGTTTGATTGTTATTGTTCTATATACTAGGGGCAACATGGTCATTTAATAACCTCTAAAAAGGGAGTAGGGACTTTTTAGTCGCTGAAAACAAACAGGGAGGGACTTTTTAGGGACTAGAAACTTTTTAGTTGGGACAAGAAAAAATCCTAAGACTTATGAACCAAACAGGGCTTTACTGTCCTCTGCCAATTTTTGACCGGATGACTATACTGGGGCGACTATACTGTACAATTCTTGACAATTTTAAACGTGTTTCAGTGCTTGTTCGGATGCCCCTAGGGTGGCTGCATGCAACATCGTTTTGGGCTTTTGGCCACAATTTTTGACTGATCTGACTAGTACGTACGTGATGGATACTGAAAAGAAATAGACATCGGTGTGTGTGGCCTCACCAGCCACTAAACTCGTCGAGTTTCCGAGCAGATTGCGCCGATAATTTGACGCATCTATATAGGTTGTTGTACAATACTTCAGCATCACTAAATTAGAAGTGAATTTATTGGGTGTATCGAGACAGTCGACCAGAAAAAAGGATGCGTGGGACGTGGTGTTCACTGTACCCGCAGGCAGGCAGAATCAGGGCCGGCTCTATGATTTCGAAGGCCCCAGTGCGAACCCGACCAGTGGGCCCAATAGAAAGAAAAATCCAATTTGATACATGAAAATATAAAATTGCTATACAATCATAAAACTATTTTTTTTTACTAGAATCAAGCATATGTTATTTTTCCTGTCTTTGTTCCAAACTAAGATGTCTCCAATTCTTCAATCCCTCGGATGCTAGTACACTTTTGCCTTTTCCAGATTTAAACAATTTGCAACAAAAGCAGTAGACTTTATTCACGTGTTTAGAGTACACTAACCACCTCCGATCACTGAACTCGCCATTCCTTAACTTTCTTGTGTAGTAATCATATGAAAAATGCCTGCCACTAATTTTATCTTCGGGAAACACAAGATTGTATTCCCTTATAGGTCCTTTTTCAAACAGAATATCTCCTGATTTATTGTCGAGAATATTCCAAGTTCTAGGATCATATATATCAAAAGAAGAACCCTGCTCATCTGCATTTCAAAGATTCTCATGGTCACTAAAATTTTCCGTGTGCTGATCGGCATCATTTTCCGCAGCATTATTTTTCTCGACATGATTTTCCTCAACGGCATTCTTAGTATCATCAGGTTTTTCTTCACCATTTGTGATATATAATTGCTCTGAATTTGTAGCAGCACCAGTCCTCAAGACAAACATATCCATAGCGCCTTCCTGAGATTTAATCAACTTGTCTACTCTTTTCTTGTTGTTTCTTTTCACACAGCCAGATAGATGTTTTTTAGGTAATATGATTATGCTGCAAGTGAGAAACACGAATACAGCATCAGAGATTGAAGATGTTATGTTTTTAGATGAGAAGTTTCAGAATTGAGACCACCGGAAAATATTCGCCTATAGATTAGGATTTATGAATAGATTGATCTGAGAATTATTACCTTCTGAATGATGATATTGATCAGTTGATCTCTTCCCCGAATTCTTACCGATTTGATCCCCAAACTCAGCTCCAGGTTCGGTGCGGTGCGCCGGTGTCGGCGTCAGGCGGCGTGCTACTGTGTCGATGCGTCTCCGTACTCCAGTGTCGGTGCGTCTCCCTGGATCCAGGCGAACGACAGGGCAACGTGCGTTGCCCGGGCTTGGTTGGGCAGGCCCTAGTGGTGGTTGCGTGCTGCTTGCTGGGTAGGCTCAGAGCTACCTGGGCTGGACGTTAGCCATTCTTTTTTTCCCACTAATCCGTAATATATAATATATACTGTATATATACTATGGGCCCCCTTTTAGTCTGGCCCGAGGCCGTCGCACCTCTCGCACTGTATATATCCGGATGAGCTTGATATGGTGTTTGAGAGTAGTCCTAGCTATGTGGAGCTCTTGGAACAAGTGAGGAATGATTTGAATTGGATGGACACAAGTGACGTTGTTGAGTTCGAGGGAAGGCATAATGTTGGTTTTGGAATGCACATCCGTTGGAAGATAATGCGTGTGAACTCCGAGCAACATTGAGTTGCATACAAGGAGACGGTTGCCGAATCTCTAGACAAGCCTCTTGAGTTATTTGCCTCCAAAAAAGTTGAGTCTACTTTGAATTTGGACTTGAACCGGAACCCCTCCCCGTTGGTTGCTAGCACTCCCCCACCCATGAACCAAGATCAAATGAGTGAACCTCATTTCACGCAACAAGATTGGTCAACATTGAGCCCGACTCCAAACAACCAAAATGAAGCTTTTGAAGAGGAGAATGATGAGTACGCGGAGGATGACAACGAAGTTGATCTCCATGACAACAGTGTGGGTGATCTCGACCAATATCATGTGCAAGAGACAATGGACCAATCCATCCTTTTTTCCCGTGCATATGCATTGGACTCGAATGACAATGGTCCCGATGAAGAAGTTGATGAGGAGGGGTTCACGCCGAAGGAGGCCCAAGCATTCAAGAAGGTATTCGGGCGGGATCACAAGACACCATTGTTCAAGGATCTTAGTCTCGCGGATGAAGCCGTTGTGGATGGTGGCAAATGCATATCTCTTGGAGCTAGGCCAAGTTCTCACCGTGATTTGAAAGACGGCAAGAACGGGATATATCCCGGTTGTGAGTTTCAATCCTTCTTGAAATTGAAGATGTGGCTCGACAACTACTCGGTTACACATTATCGTCCACATAAAGTGGCCAACTCAGACTTCAATGTGCGTTACACGGTCAAATGTGAAGTGCCAAGATGTTCATGGATTGTGCGTGCAAGGCCATGGAAAGGAGGTCCCACTTGGCGCATAGTGAGTTATCTACCAACTCACATGTGCCGGCACAAGAATGCGGATGGCGAGTTTGTGTACCAACAACACAGACAACTCACGTCCGAGTTCATTGCTTACAGGTTATCCAACCAAATATCCATACTTCCAATAATGAGCATCAAGAGTGTCATTGACCTTGTGAAAGCCATCTTTCATTACAAGATGAAGTACGGCAAGGCATGGAAGGCGAAACAATCCGCATTCAAGATGTTGTATGTCAATTGGGAGGAAGCATAAAACCGACTCCCTAGGTTGTTGTTAGCTATGGCCGCCACAAACCAAGGCATGGTTCACGTGGTTGAGCCTCATGGGCACCAAACATTGATTCATAACGGAAGGACCGTCCGAGTATTTGGCCGTGCATTTTGGGCCTTTGAGCAATGCGTGAGGGCTTTTGTGCATTGTTGGCCCGTCATCGTCATTGACGGCACGTTCTTGACCGGACAATACAAGGACACTTTATTGGTTGCAATAGCAAGTGATGCCAATAACCGGGTGTTGCCTTTGGCTTTCGCTTTGGTTGAGGTGGAGAACAATGATAACTGGAAATGGTTCTTGTGTCAATTGAGAACAAGGGTATTACCGGCTGAAAGGGAAATTTATGTCATATCGAATCGCCATTCAGGAATTCTAAATGCGGTGTCCTCGTCGGGTTCGGTCAACTTTGTTCGTGTGAAATCTAGACAAGCAAAGACGTTCGTACGCACGCACGCATGCATGCATGCATCGAGATGCTCTTGGAAACCTGGTCGAGACTCGACCCGAGAGGTCCGTCTTGATGACTGTCAATACAGCAGTGCCCCGGCCAGTCAGGCTTGTAATCCTGCGCCAGTTTCGGGCAATCTATCTGGTCGCCGCTAACAGACACCCCCCGTCAGGTTGGTACGTATGTTACTGTTGGTGTGTATAGAGTTGTTTGGTCAGGTGTTACTGCCCGTGGCGCTTGGCCGCATGCATCCCTGCGCGCGTGTCACTGCCGGGCTCTGCACTCTCTGGAGGAGCAAACGGCATTTTAGCTCGCAAGTGAGAAAAGATCAGACGATCCACAGTGGATCACGCACAAGCAACATAGCTGCAGCGACATTACAGAGCAGGGTGCATGGTATGGCATGCATTCCTTCCTTCAAGCCGTAGTTTGTGGAGTCGAGAGTTGCTGCTCACAGAGCTGCAGGGTTTGTCCCTGTGACTGTGCCTGCGCGTCGGTCACAGACGCGCGCACTGTGGCCTGGCCGATACTACAGGCTTGAATGAAGACTGAGGGGGTGTTTGGTTTAGAAGTCCTAGGACTTTTTCTAGTCCCAGAGACTAATCAAAAAAAACTCTTCAGTAGAGTTTTTTTCTAGTCCCTGTAGAAAAAGTCCCTCCCGTTTGGTTCCTAGGGACTTCTTAGGGACTTTTTCTAATCTCTGGGACTAAAAAGTACCTGAATCAAACACCCCCTGAAAAGGTAGAAGCTCGTGGCGATGCCGCTGCCTGCCTGCCTGCCTGCCGCCGGAGCACTGGCGCACTGCGAGTGTTGGATAGTACTCCATGAACATGAAGAACATATATTCCACGAGGTGAGGCCCACGGGATCTCTGCCGCGACATGCGAGAATGTGAGACCGGTGTTCACATGATCATTCATTCATTCATTCTCCACTGATCACCGCACTGCATGCTCGACTTGTGCACGCAGTATAACATGCTGGTGCTCACTCATCATTAACAGCCGCACAGTCGAACAAACAGAAGATACTTGTGTTCTCACTACTAAGAGCTGAACAGCCATCAAGAGTGAAAAGATGTTTCGCGTGATATAGATCAACTGTTGTTCACAACGTTCCTTTGGTACAGCAATCTAACCAGTCTCTGTAACACTTTAAACATGATGGAAAATCGATCGAAAACGGCGGCCCTTTTTGCCGACGAACTCGCAAAAACACAAGTCAAATTACATCCGAGTATGTATCAAAGCTCGCTGTCGTTGCTCTCCGTGGTGGCGCCAGCAGATGTCTTCCCATTCACAGCAATGAGCTCCGTGTCGAAAACCAGAGTTGCACCACCTATCATCAGAGTTCAAAACTACTAGTCAGCATTGCTGGTCAATGAAAGAGAGCACGGCGGCATGCCGTGTTTGGATCATATGATGCAGGCAACAAACACGCTAGAATGGCAATATCAAAGTTGACGATCCGAACAGTACACGAGATACAATTTCATGACAAGGACCATACCAGGCAAACATACAAATAACAAGCCATACCTGGAATCTTTGGTGGGGAGCCTCGCTCCCCGTAACCCATCTTTGCGGGTATTCTCAGCTTCCGCTTTTCGCCGACGCACATACCTAGTAAACCTTGGTCCCAACCTACACACAGATGAAAACAATAATGTAGGTTGGCGCCATTGCGAAGGTTTCTGATAAGAACAGTATAGGCCGTTTCTCCACGTTTCTTTTTTGTAAAATATATTGTTGTTCGTTCAAGTCAGTACAATATGGACCACAGATAAACCAATAATCGCATGCTGCTCAAGGAAAAGAGAATAACCTTTTATCACCTGCCCATTCCCAAGAGTGAATTCGAAGGGATCACCTCTGTCATAGCTAGAGTCAAATACTGATCCATCAGTGAGTGTCCCCTGCACGCAGCATAGTCAAGCTTTCAGCTGAATGACAAAACTGTGGAGACAAATCGCTACAGGAAAAGCATCAAAGAGTTTCTTTGACGCAAACATGACAAACAAACCAGGTAAAGAACGCAATAAAGGCCATAAATTACTAGGGTTACTCTGACATGATGTTTCTCACTTTCTCTGCAAGGCATCTCAACTGGTTCATGTTAAGAGACATCGCGTTAAATAGCTATCACAACTGATTCATTATAAAGTTGCCGCACAAATGAGAGTATGTATCGTACATTTGGACTATGTTGTTCATAAAGTCATTGTAAGGAACAGTGTGAAGGTTACAGTAAGGGGAACTCAGTGGCCCTTGCTTCTGAGACTTGGAATTGCAGGCTTGTTATAACTAGCTACAGTCATTATTTCTTTTGACTAGAGTACTATCAAGTATCATAAGGGAATAGCATTGCTAACTTCAGATAAAAGTGTCGGTCAATTACTTACACGATAATGCACTTTAATCTTGTCGCCTTTGTGAGCCTGTAGGGTACATGATTCAGGCTTGTACTGAAAAGAGGATGAGCCAAAGAAAACAGTGTCATGTGAAGCCACAGTGATACTATCATTGTAATGTAATAAGAATGAAAGCATAACCTGTATATGATTGCCTTAGAACTATATAAATCGAATGTTGCACAATTGTAGATTAAGACTTAATGAGTGACTGAAAGCTAGGCATGTAGATACAGAAAACCTCACTTTCTAAAAAAAGATACAGAAAATCTCTGCCCTCCACAGTAAGGCTGTTCATCAGCATTTTCCATTCAAACCATCTGAGTACAACTAGATCTTGTATGCATCTGATAATGCTATTCAAAATTAGTACTCCTGTGTTGCAAACGCAGCAGGTATCCTGACTGTCCAAATCCATTAGTTGGCCAACAACTAATCCGACAGTACATGGGTTATGCTATAAGTATAAGCTCATACCATTAAATTTGCACTTAAAAGCACTTTCTTGTGACTAGTTTTATAGCTATGAATGAAATACAGATACAGGAATTTGCTGTCAAAGTTGAACATCAGGCAGGCAAAATACAGCCTACTACAACTGAGAGAGTACTACCGCGCATGCTTCAATGGTATGGCCAAAATGTGATGAACACCCCTATCCCACACTCTGGTTTGTGATCGAATACTGGAGATTCAATTTCTAAAATAATGTATGAACCTTAGCAGCAAGTACATAATTTTTCAGTTTGAAACTTCATAGCAGAAGTATCACAACAACATAGGTTGTCCACTTCTCTGCTCAGCTTTTAATTTACATCCTGTGTAATATGACTAGTCCCCACAGAAGGGATCTTGGCCAGTATTAGGACAGCATTCCTTAGAAGACCAAATGTTACTTCTGAGAGATATCCATCATGGTTTCTTGTTAATACATCAATATAAAAGCACACACTGGTTGGTTAAACAACATTCCTTAAAACTACACAAGTAAATTGCTAATTAGCCTCCCCTCAATTTTTATTTGTACTAATTAGCTCTAGTGAATAAACTGCAGTCTGAATCTCACGCCCTATGTGTGAAGGAACAATAGCTTATTTTGCACTTGGATCTTCATCTGGAAATCTCATAAACCTAGCAATCTAGCATCATCCCTGAACTCTGCACCGAAGGATCTCAGATCCGCCGGAACACAGAAAGCACACAAAGCAATACTAGAGCGCAGCAGAGATTGCGGTTTGGTTACAACCCTGCGGAATACGGACCTTGACGCCGATCTGGAGCTGTGTAACATCCGCGGACTTCTTGGCCGAAGCTGGAGAACCAGATCGAGAAACCGAGTGAGCAAAACCAAATCGAGAGAAAAACAGAACATATCTTTACACGACGCAACAGGTCGATAGAGCAGGTGGAGGTTAGGTTGTGGCCCGCGTTTTACCAGTCAGAAGGACGGCCGCGACGGCGACGGCAACGACGGCGAGGCAGAGGAGCCGCGGCTTCTTCGTCCCCATCGCTCTTCCCTGCGCTCGCTACCGGGTCAGCGGCCGAGGTACAGTTTCTTTGGATCGTATACGGTTTGGACGGGACTACAACTCGGGTACCGTTAATACAGAGGTAATAATACACTGTAAGTCTTACAACTTGCACGTTTAGTTTTGGTCTCGAGATGTATCTGTCGAGTTAAAAAACTATAGCCAGAGCCACATTGATGTGGTTGTCAAGAGCAATATTCAGGATTTGACTTGGCGTTTCACTGGTTTTTACGAAGCTCCGCGAGCAGAAGATAGGCACCATTCCTGGCGGTTCTTGCGTACACTTCATACGTTACCACATGCTGCATGGTTGAGCATGGGAGATTACAATGAGACACTATACCCTTCGGAGCATTTTAGTAGATCAGCGCGATCTGAAAATCATATGCGTGCTTTTCGGGAGGTGATAGATGAGATCTCTTTCCAAGACCTGGGCTGGTCCGGTACGGCCTATACTTGGGATAATCATCAAGCTGGAGGAGCGAATGTCAAGGCTCGGCTCGACCGCGCTTTTGCAAATGAAGCTTTCAGGCAACTATTTCAGCATATACGTGTCAGGCATATTCCTTCGGTGGAGTCTGACCATTGTTTCGTGATTGCGGAGATTAAGGAGAGCCTGCCATCATCAACACCAAAACGGAAACAGTTTAGATACGAGAACGTTTGGCAGACTCATACAGATTATGACCGACTGGTAAGCGATACCTGGCGGGGCATACAACGCACACCAGGGCTCCAGGGCGTGGCGTCCGCTTTGACTACCTTGCAGGCAACGCTGGGACCCTGGGGCTTCAAGGAGTTTGGCAGCCTGTCACGTTCTGTCAGGCAGTTGCAGAAGCGGTTGGATCGCCTTCGATGCCGGTCCATTGGTACAGGTCCGACGGTGGAGGAGGAAGCTGTTGTCAAGAAACTAAAGGAGGCCTTGCATCAGGAGGAAATCTGGCTTCGACAACGTTCTCGTGTTCCTTGGCTTCGGGATGGTGACCGAAACACTTCCTACTTTCAAGCTCAAGCAGCCCAACGCAAACGCATGAACAGGATTTCGGGCTTAAGAAGAGCCGATGGTTCTACTTGTGCCTCTGAAAGTGAGGACAAGGAAGAGGTACAAAACTTTTACCAGAATTTGTATCGCTCCCAGGGTTGGGGAGACTCCAGCTTGCTATTATCACATGTGCCAGAGAAAATCACCCAAGCCATGAATGATGATTTGATCAAACCCTACACGGGAGAGGAGGTAAAAACCGCGCTGTTCCAGATGGCGCCTTCCAAAGCCCCTGGTGTGGATGGTTTTAATGCAGGGTTTTACCAGCGTCACTGGGATTTGCTAGGAAACGAGGTAACCTTGGCAGTTTTGGACTTTCTTAATGGAGGAGAACTACCGGCTGGACTGAATGATACGTCCATAACATTGATACCTAAGGTACGTCATCCCCAATCGATCACGCAGTATCGGCCTATTGCCTTATGTCCGGTGCTTTATAAGATTGCAGCCAAGGCTATAACAAACCGGCTAAGAAGCTTGATGGATTTGATAATCAGCGAGGAGCAAAGCGCTTTCGTTCCCGGACGTCTTATTACAGACAACGTTCTTGTGGCTTATGAAAGTATCCATACGATGAAAAGAAGAAAGAAGGGAAAGAACTTTTCTTGCGCGGTTAAGCTTGATATGATGAAAGCATATGACCGTGTCGAGTGGCATTATCTCGAGGCAATATTGTCCCGGTTGGGTTTCAGTATGGATTTTGTTAGACTAATAATGAAGTGTGTTTCCTCTGTCCGGTTTTCTGTACGAGTCAATGGGGAACTACTTCCTTATTTTACACCCACCAGAGGTTTTCGGCAAGGAGACCCAGTGTCACCATATCTTTTTCTACTTTGTGCCGAAGGGTTCTCATCATTGTTGAAACACTACAATGGGGGCACCATTGATAGGGGACTACGGGTGAGTTATAGATCGCCGTGGGTCACCCATTTGCTTTTTGCGGATGATAGTCCCATCTTCATCAATGCAAGCAACCCAAGTGCTCTCCGGTTAAATGATATCTTGAGGATTTATGAGGAGGCCTCGGGCCAGTGTATCAATAAGGAGAAAAGTGCCATATACTTCAGTTCAAATACTCCCACAGATCTGAGGCAACTTTTGAAGACAACCTTGAACATCCATGTTGAAGCGTTCAATGAGAGGTATTTGGGTCTCCCTACTGCTGTGGGACGGATTACGAGTGGGACATTTGATCATATCAGTGAAAGAGCCAGGGCTAGAATGCAAGGATGGTCGAAAAAATTACTCGCCTGTGCAGGTCGTGAGACATTGTTGAAATCAGTGGTCCAAGCAATTCCGACCTATCCAATGAGTACTTTTCTGTTAACCAAAAAAGTTTGTAAGAGTCTGACGTCTCCTATGGCCAAGTATTTCTGGAGTAGTTCTCTTGACAAAAGATCAATGCATTGGGTGTCGTGGAAAGAGCTTGCAACGCCCAAGTGCAAAGGCGGTATGGGTTTCAGAGACCCACACATGTTCAATCTTGCCATGTTGGGGAAACACGGATGGCGTTTTCTAACAAATCCCGAATCCCTTTGTGCAAGAGTATTGAAGGGACGGTATTTTCCTGATACGGATTTTATGCATGCGGCCTTACCCAAGTCGGCTTCGGCCACTTGGAAAGCTATTATAGCAGGAAGAGAAGCCCTTCGGACAGGCTTGATCTCCCGTGTTGGAGATGGCACTACTATTGATGTTTGGAATGATAAATGGATTCCAGGTACTATCTCTATGTCACCTATCTCAAGACCACCGGGCACTGCAATCCAACGGGTGGAAGAGCTCATTGATACATCCAACTGGACTTGGAAGCATGAGGTGGTCTGGGATAATTTCATTGCCCCGGATGCTGAGGCCATTCTTAACATTCCTATTCGGCAAGGGGGAGGGTATGATTACCTTGCTTGGGCATTCGAACGATCAGGCAACTACACTGTGAAGTCGGCGTACCGTGCTCTTGTGAATCAGAACGAGCGTTTGGCTCTAGATGAAGGGACGGCTACCGGTACCTCCAATGATGAACAACAGATGTGGAAAGCCTTGTGGAAATTGAATGTTATCCCAAAAGTGAGAGTCTTTTGGTGGAGAGTTCTTCGTGGGATTCTACCAGATGAAGCTACTCTCAACCATAGACACATTGCGGAAATTCGCCGATGCAAAGTTTGTCTTGCTATGGATGAGGATCTAAAGCATGCATTAATACACTGCTCGCATGCTAAGCGCTTTTGGGAGGAGGCGTGTGCATGGTTCGGGCTCCGGCTTCCACGGCTACATCCGGACTCGTGGGCTCGCGACATTTTATGTGACTCACGGTTTACGGATGACGACCGTGCAAAGATCACCACTATTATGTGGTCTATTTGGCATTCTAGGAATCATATCAAGCACGGTGAAGAAGGTCGAGACCCTATAGCGACGATCAGAGCAACAAAAGAGGCTATTGCACTTCTTCACTTGCCACGCAAGGATACGATGATCTTACCTGGCTATGGGTGGCGGCCTCCTGATGATGGGTTTGTGAAGATCACAACCGATGGAGCTCTAAACTTAATGGATGGTAGGGGAGGCGCGGGAGGCATTGCTCGATCCCCTACGGCTCTCCTGGGTGCCTGGTGCAAACTATATGTGGGGATTTCGGATCCCTTGATCATGGAGGGACTTTCCTTGCGAGATGGTGTTCGATTCGCTGCTCTTCGTGGTTTCTCGCATGTGATAATGGAAGTCGATTGCTTGGAGTTGGTGACACTCTGGACCACTCGCCACAGTTCCCGTTCAATTGTGGCTCCTTTACTTTTAGAGATCGGAGAGCTTAGTTCTCATTTTTCCTCTTTTGTTATCCAACATGTAAACAGGTCAGCCAATTTACCGGCTCACTTGTGTGCCAAACATGCTTGCGCACTCAATGTGACTGATAGTTGGCTTGATGAGACTCCTAGCTTCTTGGTGTCCAGCCTTCTGGCTGATTGTCCCAAGAATGCGTTTACTTAATAAAGCTCTCCGAATTTCCCCGCAAAAAAAGTTTAGTTTGGTGCATAAACTAAACGTTTAGGTGACCTGTACTTTGTTCTTTATGATATGAATGGGACACGTATTACCATGCAAAAAAAAACTTGCGCGCAATGTTTAGTTTGGTGCATAAACTTATAATATACATTTTTTCATGATAATACGTGTCTCATTCATATCATAAAGATTAAAATACAACTCACGTAAAGACCGATATGACAACACTGAAAAAAGTAGCGGAACATCTCTAAGCTTACCCATCACCTGCCCCCGGCACCACGACAGGAGCCACAAAAAAAAAGAATGATGGATCACCTCCTCACTCGAGCTCGACGCGGCTTCATCGCTGATATGCACTTTGTGGACCTCCAAGGTGGCTCACCAAAAGTGAAGCCCTTACCGTTGAACGAATCAGACCGGGGCAACACCCCGGACACGCCATCGAACTAGATCTGGCACCGCACCGTGGCTAAGACGCTCCAGAAGGAAACCATACCTGCCATTCACGAACCACAGACCCAGCACATGTTCCGTCTTTCAGATGTCGTCGATGCAGACCACAATATGCATCCGCTCCTGGACTACCTACCAAGCTCCGCGCCGACACTGGAGCAAACGTCCTCGCAACGGCGAAGTCCAAGGACATAGATCCACCACGAGGATGCCGCCGCCGCCACGCCATCCTTGCTTGAACCGACTGGTTTCCAAATCCATCCCCAACGGACGATGCTTCGGTGCCTTAAGGCACCTACCTTTGTGTCTATGACATGTGGGCCCAACAGGTGGCTGGCCCACATGTCAGTGACCCAAAGGCAGGTGCCTTTAAGGCACCGAAGCTGCGTCCATCCCCAACCATAGGACCGATGGCCTTGTCAAGGAAGGATCTGAAGAATCTTTATTCAATGTTGTCATCGTCGCAGCCAAAGTAAAG